CTCCTAGCTCTGCTGAGAGCTGACCGTGACGGTTTTGCTGAGCACTTTCACATATAATTCCCATACATCTTGCTCTTATTTTTGCCTTTCCTAACTTCTAAGCCAACTCCCCTTTCCTGTTCCTACACCAGTTCTGATGTCTGCTGAAGGATGCACATTTCCAGCTTTTGCAGATACTCTGTGCAGCCAGCCTTGGCTGATCCGAACATCCAGTCTGTCTCCATCACAGACACCCCACTTGTGCCACCGGGGCTCACGACTCCTGCCTCAGCACTAATGCAGAGCTTGGCTGCCCTTCATTCACTCCATGTCTCCTTCGGGCTCATCAGCTCTGGACCTCATGCTTTGTCTGTACCAGTAACTGTGGCTCTGTATTTTGATCATGCTGTTGGTTCTGCCCTCCTCAAATCTGTTTTCTTTGCCTCACACTCTCCTCTGCAGTCTGCATTTGATTCCCACAGCTTGGTCACTCTTTCGTCCAGAGATCTTCATCTCCCTCCCATGTAGATTGAAAGCAGGGAAAGCAAGAGCTGCTCCATGAAAAGCTAAACTACTGAAACCTGGAAGGTATGTTGCCCTCCTAACAGATAAGCTCTGGTCTCAACTGAGATCTTATTACTTGTAATAAATTTTTTTTTAGTCAACAACTGTTACTTACTGCAAAAGAGTAATAGAATTATAGAACAACTGAGGTTGGAAGGGACCTCTAGACATCATCTACAGTCCAATCCCCTGCTCGAGCAGGGTCCCCTACAGCACGTGGCACAGGGTGGCATCCAGGCGGGTTTTGAAGACCTCCAGAGAAGGAGACTCTACAACCTCTCTGGCCAGCCTATATCAGGGCTCTGCCACCCTCACAGGAAAGGAGTTCTTCCTCACATGGAGATGCAACTTCCTGTGTTTCAACTTATACCCAATACCCCTTTTCCTGTCCCTTGCCACCACTGAGAAGAGTTTGTCCCCAGCTTCCCTCAGGTTCAAGGATCAATACATATTGATTAGATCTCCTCTCAACCTTCTCTTCTCTAGGCTAAACACGCCCAGTTCACTTAGTCTTTCCTCACACGGTAGATGCTCCAGTCCCTTAATCATCTTCAATGCACTCATCATCTTTGTTGCTCTAACGTTTGGACTTTTCAGTGGTTTATTAAAATAAAACTCAATAATGCTTAAAGCATGGCCCAAACAAGTTTAAGCCCATTAAGAAGCTACAAGAAACTTATGATTCAGAAGTCGGAATAATTCTCCTAATCACAAATGCACTTTGCATCAGCACTGGTGTCTGATAACGGAGACATACCTTCATGGAACAAAACTTAAAAATGCATAATTAAGAAATGAAACTACTACAAAGGAATATATGGAACTAAAAACATATAGAAATATATATTTTGCCAGAAAACGCTTCAGGGAGATGACAGGACTTTAAAAGGGTCATAAACAGGACTATTATAAAGCAACATAGTCATAATCTGGCAGTGCATAATATCTTTATTTAGAACAATAAAGTATATGTTTATAATGTAAATTCCAAATCTGAACTGGTATAAAAAAGGATCGGGGAAAACATCTATCTTTAAGAGGACACATATATATACATACACATCACATTTTATAAACTTTGTTGATTACCTTCAGTCAGAATGTAACTATGTTAGACTGTGCTGACATTTACATCAAAATATATGAATTTGCCCATGATGCAACCAGCAAAAGTCTGTGTCTCTATCACTACAGAGTCTGAAGTTTCCGCGTTCCATTGATTTTATCACATAATAGTAACATGCCACCATTGCTGTAGATCTGTATTTAACAAGACAGTTGAATCAAATTCCTGAATTGAAGAATGTTGGTTAATTCTTAAATGTAAATCTAACTCAAAACATCTGTATGTGGTTAACTTTTCATTTTAATAGTTGTATGCTGTGTACTGGATAATTCCAGCATATTACAGAAAGACAGCAACAGAGAAAACAGCTGGTGAAGATTAGAGTACAAAAAAAAAAATGTGCAGGTTGCACACATACTCCATAGTATAGCACATTAGTTGTTTATAAGCTTATTTATAAAATGACCTTGTGATCAAATAAGTACCATTAATTTATTCAAGTAAACACACATCTAAAATAGCACATTGAGTTATTCAGTATATCACTATCTGCTTCTTATTCTCACAAGGCCACTATTAATTGCATGCAAAGTTCAACTACTCCAAAGGAAACTTAAAAATGTCAGTTTCTCACAAAACCACAGATATTTGGACCCCAAATTTGGTTGACTTTCATAGAAAATAAAATGTCTCACTTGTCTTCCTCAATTTCATTTTAAGAGAAATGATACTTATTTTCTATCCATGATGGTGCATGGGCTGTATCTCCTCAAACTACAGATAAACAGTATTTTACTATTTAATAACTATCCGTTACTAAAAACAGCTAATTTTTCAGAAATTAAATAGCTTAAAATTGGATGAAGGAGTAAGTAAGGGACTATTCCTACTACCACTGCCCACACAGAAAAGTAACTTATTCTGATTACATTGATTTCAAAGGTGTCTAACTCTCTCAAAATTTCACTGTGCCTGAAGTAAGGGCCACTGCAGTGGGTAAAGTGGGCAGTGAAACCTTTCAAATAATTTCATAATTACGTTTCCAAGTGCCATGCAACCTATTCTATTCAGAAATGTCCAGAAATGTCTGTCTGCTTTGTAAAATTATGTTGAAATCAAATGGGGTTGGGAAGACCAGGAAAACCATGAGCTGTCACAACAGTTCTGCTAAACTGATTCTATGGGGTATTTGTTCATTTGATGCATACTCAAACTGAGAACAATATTTGTGATAAGAGGTCAGAAGGCTTATACATGAATTTTCCTTTTGTACCAAAGTACTCTTAAATTTGCTGGGCTCTGTGGTAGAAAGTACATGACATTATTTAAAAACGATCATAGCTGTTGTCTCAGCTCCAGACTGCTATTCTTGAAACAAAAGCATTTTGTGGTAGTCTATCTGTGGTTAGTATACTTCAATTTACATAATCTCTTATCTTTTCTCATCAAACAATAGACTGTATACTAAGGAGGCTAAAACACTATGCATTTTGAATGTCCAAGTATAATTTGAGGCGCACCAATGTGCAATGCTATTGTATATTTGATTTTCTGGAAAATATATATTTAGGAAAACTAAAAATTTTATGAACAAATTATATTAATAAATACTAGATGTTTAACTGAATCTATGAACTTCAAATTCATAAAACTGATCTGAGAACATATCATATAGCAACATGAAAAATTTAGTATTTTTGTAAATTGTATACAGATAATTGTTTTCACATACTGTGGATATATTTCCTTTCATCAGAACTTGTAGGCAGTTATTCTCCACGTTACCAGTAAGGTGCACATTTCCCATCAAATGCTGAAGCATGTTGACATTTCCTTCAGGGTAAATCTTAAGTAGGTTTGAAACATAAAGTCTGTGGGCCTAGTGAATAAAGAACTACACATTGTCGTATAAGATTGAGCTACAGATGGAGAATTCTGTTTGATTTTTGCACAGCTGAAACTTGTTTTTCAGAAGTTCTGGGAACTTTTCCATTTCTCATTGAGTAGTGAGTGCCACAGTATTTTCTGATTAAAAATGAAATCAAACTAAATGTATTTTGATAAAGTCTACAAGAAACCTCTAAGAAGTTGCAAATCCCAGAGCTCTGCTAACATGGAATTCACACAGGGTGAACTTCGGGACTCTTTATGACACTCAAGTAGTACAAAATGGCCTCAGTATAAATAAAAACTAGATCCACATGATCCAATCCTGGTCTCAGTGAAGTCAAGAGAAGGTCTACTATTGATTTCAGTTGGGCTAAAATTCTAGGCCAAGTGGTTATACTCACATATAAATTCTGTGATTAAACTTAGCATGGTTTTGAGGATTTTTCTTTTTGGTAGTGTGAAAGACAGATCATTTTTCCCAGTAATACACATACATACATATGCCTATCATACTCTTTTGACATTTGGTTTCCATAAAATTTTGTAGATGATTAAAAAGTCCACAAGAATTCTTAAAAATTAAGCAATTATATACTTTAAAGATAAATTCAGCTTTATGAAAAACATTAAAGGAGTTTTTTATTATTTTAAGTTACTTAAATTAAAACTCTTACTGACCTAGTTACCGGCTGTTAAGACAGTTTGTCATTTGAGGTGAGCATCCTCTACATTCTGAAGTACAAATCCCTAAGACAGATAAATGATTCATATATATTATCTGGAAAGAGTCAGGACAAAAAGATGGACAAGTGCACTTGCAACTTCTGCTATCTAGAGTTTACCTGAAAATGTGTATCTGTACATCAGTCCTGTACATATTGTGTGTATGCAATAACAGCAATAGATGCAGAAGACAAGTGGGAAATAAAAGTTGTTCTGCTTCAAGAGAATTAACCTTAAGAGTGGAAAAAGACAGGATTTTGAAGCTTATTAATCATTTAAAACACAATGCAAACATTAATTACAGCTGATGTAAGTAAAAGCTAAATACATCCTCTGGATCTTTCAATTTTTCTATGCTATATATGTAAAGACAAGATATCAATGGCATGCATCTTCAGAATTTAAAATGCATATCATGGGTTTGCCTTTGTTCTGATGTTTGAACGCAGTTCAGACTCTTCACGGTCCCTTCTATTTCTGTGGTGAGAGATTTCAGCAGTGTTCACATATCCAGCAGTTACTCCTAATTCCTGTACTATATCCATGCTGTACTATCACCTCCTATTTACTTTTTCTTCATCCAGTATTGCTTCTCCCGAACAGAGCCTATCAGCCCTGATGAATTCTTGAGGCTTTCCGGGGTGGGCATACTGCCACTGGGCACCCAATAGAGACCATGTCACTGTACACAAGACCATTGCCAGACATAAACCCAGTTCCTTATAGGTAAGAGGCTGGTTCATGGCTTGACTTTTCAAGTTGTATATACAAAAATTGAAGAGTATGTTATCTGTATCCACATCTGTGTTTTCTGTCAGTTCAGAGAATTCCACTTGAAGACATCAAGGTAAGGCAGAGTACACAGAATTTAAATTAAGGATGCAAACGTATTTATGACTTTGAATGATTACCCACAGTTGGAGGCATTTGAAAGATGCGTTCTGTTCAGGACTTTGTCAGAATCATCTCCAGGTATTAATGTAAATAAAAATCCCCGAACGCCAAAAAAGGTAGATATTCACATACGATAGAGTCCTGCTCAGTGCACACTTAACGTTGTTCAATTCAGTGTTGGTTTCACAGTAACAAACACAAATTGTCCTCGTTTCTATATCATGTCTATGGAGTTATGGGCAGTAACAACAGATGCAGACTCAGTCTGTCACTCCAGAAGGAATACAAATGTGCTTAAAGCTGCTTCATTTATGAAGCGAACATGGAACTGTTACCTGCTTGGAGAGAAAAAGGGGAAATCATAATTCTGTTGGTTAGTTTTCCCCTCTTCAAAATTGAACAATACAGCTTTCAAAAAAAAAAAAAAAGTTTTTTATTAGAAATTTGGAAATCAATATTTGCAGTGCCACTTTCACAGACATTATTTTTTGTTTGGAAACAAAAATAATTATTATGAGACTCTCATTCAATTTCATGATACTTATCAAGCCTGATCTGAAATGCCCACTGACGTCATCTAACTGCTACTTTTGTGCATTTGGTATCTGGCATTCTTTGACAACAAACTTCCTTTACACTCAACTGGATAAGCCAGCGACAAATTCAGTTTATGTCTTTTTGAAAATGAAATTGCTTGTCCCACACAGTGTTGCTTTTCTTCTTAGTGAAAAGATACTTTCTCAGTCAGAATATCTGGGAGACTAATGATGGCCCAAATGATCACATGAACACTTTGAAAAACATCAGAAAGTGATCCCTATAGAGTAAACTGTAACTGCCTATTTTAAATTTGCTCATCTTGGTCCTGAGATAACAGGAAATATCTAGCACTGCCTGAAACTTTCAGATGTTTATCAAAGATTCTAGGTTAAATACATTATTTCTCTTGTAAGAAGTCCCTTGAAATGAAAAAAGCACCCTTCTGCACAGATGCACTGAGAATGAGAAAGCTTGCTAACATTAGCAGCTCAGTCGTGTATATATAAAAGCAAGAATGATGAATCTGATAAAGCTGTCAAGGCTGCAAACTGTGCTGAGTAAACAACAATTAGAGAAGGTCAGCTCATCCTTTTGTAAATATTGTGGTCCTGTGGGAAGCTTTCTACTTGGCCTGCTCTCCTATGCTCACCTGTTATTTTTAGAATGCTTTTTTTAGGTCATCCTGCTTTGAAACTGCTATAGGACAAAAACTGGATAATTCTCAGTATTGGCTGTCACATCAGAAAGAGAGAAATTATAGCTGTCCTTCATTTGGAATATTTCACTTGTAACATCCAGGCTGTCCTTCATTTGGAATATTTCACTTATAACATCCAGGCTAAAATTCTGAGGCCTAAATTCATGACACAGGGTTAATCGCATTAGTAGTTAAAGATTTTAGGTTCAATATAGGTCCACTGAATGCAAATTTTATTTCATTTTTCCTAAAATGGACTCCAAATCAGTTTGCATTTCAGTGGACAAAGGTTATACGGCCAGTAGTAAAACTCTCAAGCATAAGAACTTACCAGTACATGAGACAGTAACAGTGTTTAGGGAGAAAAAGCAACAGCTACACTTGTAGATGGTCTTTTTCTTTTTGCTGCAACATACTGAAAGAAAAAAAAAGTATTTTATTTTTATGAATTGCACTTGAAGAAAATGGAATCTATGAATGTATTATTTTAGAAAGTTTGAATACAGAAAATTTCACCCCATACATCCAAAATTGCTAAGTTTGGGAACTTGCTAGTTCACAAGCTAGTCTATTCCTGTCTTCAACAGTGGGTAACAGGAGACACTTCACACTAAAATTACAAGCCTACAGTATAAAGTCTGTAACTTTGCCATGCACCTTAGACATTCCTCTGATCCCTCATAGTTAAAAACCGATTAAAGAAAAATAAGACTAAGTATTATCCCCAAAAAATTTTAGCATGAGGTGTTCTAACATTAAATATTCCAAGTCCTTTTCTGAAATTTGCAAACTTCTAGGTCTAAATCATGTCATAATGCAACTCTGAGTGTCTTCAACTATTATTTCTGAGATTTATTTGATCAGCTGAGTTATACAGAATTATTTCTGCTTAAAATCAGACAAAACAATGCTTAAATATAAAAACAGCAGAAAATCATTTCAGAATGACCTTATGAAGTTGCCAGGGTTTGAATATATTCTCATCAACTTTCTATGAATATTAAAATAAACTAGAAAGAATAGATCCTGTGCATGTCCAGGAAAGTGTCAAAAAGGGAAAGAACCTCAAAAATTTAAATGTAAAACAAAATTAAAGTGACTTAGGAGCACAGCCAAGACTTACTGTTCTTTATTCATGTAATATTAAACCACCTCTGTACTATATGACAAATGACAAAATTCACTTATATTTGTTGCTTCCCCTACAGGTCTGAGCAATCCCACGTTCACTTCATTTCTTTGCTTAAGATACTCCTCTGAAACTACTGTTTTTCAGCATTCCTTTCACTGATTTGTGGAAGTGAATACAGATAAGCGAAAAGTATTGTTCCCTTAATAAAATGTTGCATATGGAAATCTCCACACCAACTCTTATATTTAGAATAGAATAAGGGACAAGATGTAAGCATATGTTCTATCTCTACAGCAAAAACCTTCATAATGTGTTGTGTCTTTGGTATTTTCTTCAATTGTCTTTCTGAGAGAATGGGAGTGAGACTTTCAGAAAGTAAGTCTCAAAGATAAACTAACATTTGGACATATGTGTGTAAAGTGAAACCAAATACCTTATCTCATTTTCTTCTTGACAGTCATTACACTGTGCAGTTTCATCACTTTCTGCTCTGGACTTGGGATGTGTTTTCTAGGAAATGAATTAAATACATTTATTCTAAAACTTCACTTTAAAACTCCAAAACCAATTGATGTATATTGCAGTTCTCTTTCACATTTTCATCATCAGTATCACCTTGCAAAATATAGGCTGATCTATCTAGGCTTCTAGTACATGTCTCTACTGGTATACCTTTACAGTTAAAGCCTTTGCACTGTAGACAAAGCCATCACAGGTAAAAGCAACAGAATCTGCTTCTAAAGATACAATAGGAGACCTGGGAATTTAGGGAAATCATATGTATTTAGTTTATAGGTAGGAATCAGAGATCTAGCAATTTACAGGACACAATTTACACTTTGGTAGTGAAATTCAGGAGTATGACAAGAAACATTCATATTTACATGTCACACAGTTAAGTGAAAATCACAAATATCTTCTGTTCTCATATGCATAATCATTTTGTTTCCCCTGCCTCCTCTGGTATGAAATTTAATGTGCATCACTATGTAAACAATTAAATGTACTTCTTACCTTCCAGTATATGGCTCCCAAAACAAAGCCAATAAGAAGAGACAGAAGCGATGTCAGTGCTATGCTGACCCCTTGTAGGCTTGGGTTGTTAATGAAGCCAAGTGCTTCTTCTGTAATTACAGATGTTCTCGTTAGTGAAAAAAGATTTACGGCAGAAAACTTTACAATCTTTACAGTGACGCTGCTAGTAAAGCATGTCCATGCACCACCAACATATGAGCAGCTTAAACAGCAGTACTTTTAAGCACTGTATATACAAGATGCATTTCTTGATAAAAATCTCACAGGAAATTTTTGGGGCTTTTGTCCTACAAGGATGTTCTTCTCATTTCTGAATGACCTGTGTTTCATAGTGTCCTTTTTTTTTTTTTTTTTTTTTTTTTTTTTTTTTTTTTGTAATTTTGTCATCTGTAGAGCACTTTCTCTTTCCCTGTCTTTAAAATTTTGGGTTTATTAATTTTGAAAGTTTTTATTGTGAAAAAAAAAATGAGAAGAGCATACATCCATCACTTCTAAACAGTAATTTCACGCATTTGTTTAAGATCCATAAGGCACATATTGCTGATTTTAAGTAGACACTTAGCCTTGACACTCAGACTAGCGAAACACCTATACAAGGCCCCTCAAGAGAGGTTAATTTAACAAAATAAGCCTTACTCCACTTTTAACACCTGCCTGGAAAGGTCCTGCTGACTTCAGTGAGATCAAACTCTTGTAAGCTGAAGTCTTGCTGTGTGTTATTTTGTATTATTTCTTGATAGCTGTTTACATTTTATACAGAACAGCCCAAAGCCTATACACACGTTATTCCATTCGCCTCAAAGGGAGCTGTAAGCATGCTGAGAATAAAATTTGGCCTTCCAGTTATTTAATCAAGGGCAAGATATGAAAAATCCTATGGAGTTACCCTAGAGATGTGAAAAATCTTATTTAGTTACCCTAAGACCATCTTCTGAAATGCAAAGCGAGCAAGCCACAAGAGACTGCTACTATAAACACCATCCACCCAGCGTCAGTTCACTTCAAGATCTGGAGACTGCAACTCAAACAATGGGTGAATTGCCAGACTACAGGAAAATAAATCCTCAAGCTATAAGCACTGGAAAAATCTAGGTGGCTAAATACAGAATAAGAAAATGGATTTTGACAGCACTGAAAACTCCTGTGCAAGTGATTCATGCAAAAAACAAACAGCAAATCATGTATGGTATGATAAACTGGGTCAATCAATGTGTTTATAAGATATTATTATAAAATATTATTATAAGACATTATCGAAAACACTTAAAAAAAAAAAAACTAAAACCCTTTCTCATTCTTACCTAGGCACTTATTTTATCTCTGACATTATCTGCTTGTCATGCTACCAGTTTGCACACAGAATTCCAGCTTGCACACAAGGAAATATCAGCCAAGCAGAACTAGCTAGCTTACCGTGGAAAGACCTGACTGTCTACGGAGTGGGGGAAAACAGCAGACAAAGTTTTACAGACAAAAACATAAACTGAACAGAGGCTATTGATTATTCTTTTTTTTTTTTTTTGACTGCTCTGACATTAAAACCAAAGTTAAAAATGAACAGCAGGAAAATATCCTTGGACTGCCTGTCTGAGGTTAGGCATAGGGCAGGTGGTTCTTTTTTTTTGGCAGACTGAACTTCAATAAATCTGGGCCAAACCAAAATGGTATAGAACTGCTCTGAAAACCTTAAGCAAAACCTGCCTTTTCTTTATCTGAAAAAAAAAAGCCTACTCTGAAGTACCAGGCAAAAAGAAATGGCAAGCATGCTGATTTTTATGTGAACGTCAAGAAAAATGTTATCCAAAGCATTCAGAGAGATGGGTGAAAATCAGGAACCCTCAATTTTGGAATTTCTAACAAATTAAAGAGTCTCACATAAATGAAAACCTTCCTTTGCAAGGAGGTATCTAAAAAAAAAAAAGATGTACAGTATTTTCAACTGTAGATGCTTTCTCTAGCATCTCTGGAAACCTGAAAAAAAATCACAGTTACTGTTCCATCTGGGGATCTGGAAACCAGAGGCAGAACCTTAACACAGTCAAAAAATGAAAAAAAATCTCAACACCTTAGAAAGCAAACAAGAATAGATTTTTTTTTTTTTTAAATCTGATTGTATTCAGGTTAATTTGAAAGTTAACTTGAGAGAAAACTGCCAACCTAAAACTACCTTAAAAAGCAAATGATAACATATTATTTACATTTACTTTCAAGTCCAGATTTAAGTGTCTTGAATGATCTAGAGTGAATTAAATCAGTCACGGCAGGTTTTATCATGTGCCTTTTATTTATAGTAACATCTAAAACAGAATAGGTTGGAGAATTTTCAGTCTGGAGAACCTCCCAGGGATCTGTAGCCTACTGAAGGAAAGAGAATTAAGAAAAGAAAGCTAGTGTCAAGAAGCTTTGATCTATGCCATAGGAATTTCGTCCTATATTGGAAGCTTTAGAGCTTCAGTTTCTTGCTGCCAACAGCAGTAATGGCAGAGTAAGGGAAGGACTAGAAGGAACCGGATATGTCAGTACATTTGAGAACTTCTTGGGTAACAGTACTGAAACTGCTGACTTTTCAGTTAAAGTTATTTATTTGAAATAGACACTATCTCACAGTGCTAAAGGGGAGAGAAGCAGGCCAACACAAAGTTCTCATTTTGCACCTTACAAAAAAATCCCTTAGGAAATGAGTTCCTCTCCAGTAGACTTAAATATAATTCTTCATGGACATTGTGATGTTAAGTTGGGAATACAAAATATTTACACTGAAAGTCTCTCAGCTACACAATGAAGTTATTGAGCGGATTCCCACCTTAAGCCATGTGTGCAGCTTTAGCAGGCAACTATTATTCAAAACACTGGCTAGATTTTATTGCCATGTATGTCTCAGAGGAATTTCAGTTCTCCTCACTCAGCTCCAGCGCAATTACCACAAGATTTTATCTATACAAATGTAGAACAGCTCTCACCTGTTCATTACTATTTTCCATGAACTAAAAAGGTGGAACAAAGGTACAGAGTGCAACAGCAATTGGATTAAGCCATAGTTTAATATTTTTAAATTGTTGTGCAATTATGGAATTAAACTAAGGTATCTTTTCCTTAATTATAAAAGTCTATGTTCTTCCTAAAACACTTACAAAGAGCTCTGTTAATAGAATATATACATTTTTGTACTGTTTGGTACTGAAGAATAAAGCCACATTATTATGTGGAAATTACAGGCAAAAATGAAAGAAAGCAAGACTGAACTTTCTATGAAAAAAGAAACAGTACTGCACTAAGGTGAGTGAGAAGAATTAGTAATAGCTAGTATGTTCAAGTTTTAAGCAGAGCAATATGAGATTCCTTCATTAGGAAGAAAAAGACTACCATTTATTGAGCTTGGTTCAACCACAGAAAGAAGAGATCATCACAACTCAACATCTCTCATCTCGACACTTGTTCTTTTAGAAACCATCTCATTTGAATTCTCTGGATGAGATGATACAGCATAAAGATTCCTGAAAAGTAACAACAGGACTTGGACCAAAACAGTTACTTGGAAATTAAATTGGACTAGACTTATGCAGCACAGAGAGGAAAAAAAAGACTAAAGAAATTGGGGAGGTTGGTGGAGAAGTATTTATATGGGAGAAAAGCTGGAGTGGGAACATGTCACAAATCTACAATCAATATTAAAAGGATGAAAACAGCACTACTGCCATGTCCAAAAGGTAAGAAAGAATGAGACCAGTTACTCAATTCTACATGTAGTTTGGGAGAGAATTCTGATGTAGATTTTGTCAGAGTTCTGCTCTGCTACAGTAGTTCAGTTTTATCACTCAGTAATAATGATGCACTGAAGTAGATAGATACTGCTGCTGAAATAAATGTAGCTTCAAGAATAAAAAAAAATACAGCTAGTTTAAATGAGATACAATTCCTATGACAGTTATTATTTCACAAATGATCTTATTAGCTGATTCACTTCAGGTTTTACTAAGTGTAATTTAGCATTAAGTTCAAGTCATTTGACTGCATGGAGACTTTATTAATTAAGTCAATATTTATCATTCATCCAGAGAAATATGTTTTTAAATTGTGAATGCTGCTAAACAGTCTAGGAAACATTAATTTTATAGCTTCTTCTAGTAAAGACAGTCACATTCTTTTAAATAACGTTATTCCAGTAATTTATGTGTTGATATGCCTTTTTTTTTTCTTTTTAAATTTTCAAGTTTCCCCTCTTTTTCAAATGTTTTCCTTTAAAAATTTGAGTGTAATGGTGCCGCTGAGACCAGTACCAAAGAAAGCAGATGGTGTCCCCATGTGCTGGGGACCCTTCACACAGAAGGCAGTAAGGATTATTTCTTATTGTTCCTTCACAAGAAGGCACGGATTAACACTGAAGAAAAACTTTCTCAGCAATAAAGTCAATACAAATCTGCAACCATTACTGAAGACCATTCTCAGGGAAAAAGATGTCGTATGTCCTGTCCTCAAAGACTCAAAATAAACTAGTAAAATATAACCCAACAGCATCCAATGTCCAAGTTAATGTATTTTAAGCTGATTATGAGCCAGACATTCAGTCCTCACATCATTCCTCAACTGATATCCAATTTTCCAATAAATTGCTTAAAGGAATGATAATCACTTAAAACACACCTGTGCAGCATATGGTCAGCCAAGCAATTTCTTTGACTTACTGCATTATTTTAATTAGGCCTTTTTTTTTCCTACTTGATTATCAGTTGTAGTTAAAAGATAAGATTAAATAAACCTGCTTCTATCCTCCCATTTCTCCCTATATTGGCACACGTGCCATTTTACAGGCTAAAACTCTGGCTTACATTGTGCTGCCTGGCATTGCTCCTGCTTACTCCACCAGGTCAAACTCCTTTCATCTGAACTTCTCCTGTAATCTACCTATCTCTTCCTTTTGGCTCCCTGATCCATTCCCGTAGCTTGAGGCTGCACTTCAATGTTCTTCCTCTCATAGCTGCAGTAACGATTATTGCATGTTCAGACCTGAGACAGGCACACACGCACTCTTCAGCTCCCTCCTGGTGCCTCGTAATTGCCTGTGGGCAATCACAGCCAATTCTGTGACCTCCTGGCTAGGAATTTATGATAGTGAGATTTGTCTTTTCCAGAGAGGTAGGCTGGCTGCCAAGATTTGATGATGGATTTCATTCCAGACTTAGAGGATTTGGGGGAGCCATGACTTAAAACCTCTTAATTAGAAAGCAATCAGGGAGGGCTTCAAATCTGACAATGGTTGTGAGCAAGCTAGAAGGGAGGGTGCATGGAAGTAGGAATCCAGAGAGTAACCTCTGCTGGGTACAACAGGTTGCTTCCTGTGCTCTCTTAAGCAGAAAGAGCCCTAACCACACATGTAAATACCACATACCTATCATGGATGTTTAAGTGAAGAAAAAAAAGAAAAAAAAAAAGCATATTGTCATCCTGATGCATCTGGGAAAAAGGGAACACATTATACCATTTAGGAACCACTATGGGAAAGCCACTTTTACTCACAAGGAAAACTGCAGGAAATACTTGTCTACAAGACAGGTATGTAATACATTAAACAGGAGTGGTAAGAACACAGAAAGGACCAAGCCAAACAGAAGATTACATCTTGCCAAAAGGGCAGCAACTATGTCCTTGATCTCAATTGAAAACACAGTGAGTATGGAGATACCCCTTCTGCTACTACAGGAAGTTTCCAGTCTTCAAATTTGGAGTGAAGCTTGGGATCAAGACTAATCTCAAAATACAATGTAAAGACAACCTGCATGTGGATACCCATGTGAGTATTCTGGGCCCAGTTCAGGACAGGTATCATATCATAGAATCATATCATAGAATGCCCAAGGTTGGAAGGGACCTCAGAGGTCATCGAGTCCAACCCCCCTGCACACGCAGGGTCACCTAGAGCCCGTGGCACAGGGCTGCGTCCAAGCGGATTTTAAAGATCTCCAAAGAAGGAGACTCCACAACCTCTCTGGGCAGCCTGTTCCAGTGCTTTGTCATCCTCACAGTGAAGAAATGCTTCCTTAAGTTCCTGTGGAACTTCCGATGCTTCAGTTTGAAGCCATTTCCTCTAGTCCTATCACTGTCCACCACTGAAAAGAGGCCAGCCCCATCCTCCTCCCTGCCTCCCTTGAGGTATTTATACACGCTGATCAGGTCCCCCCTCAGCCTCCTCTTCTCCAGGCTGAACAGGCCCAGCTCTCTCAGCCTTTGCTCATATGGCAGATGTTCCAGGCCTCTGATCATCCTGGTAGCCCTGCGCTGGACTCTCTCCAGCAGCTCCACATCCCTCTTGTACTGGGGAGCCCAGAACTGGATGCAGTACTCCAGATGTGGCCTCACCAGGGCTGAGTAGAGGGGGATGATCACTTCCCTCAACCTGCTGGAGACGCTCTTCTTAATGCACCCCAGGATCCCGTTGGCCTTCTTGGCCACCAGGGTACACTGCTGCCTCATGGTCAACTTGTCGTCCACCATGACACCCAGGTCCCTCTCTGCGGGACTGCTCTCCAGTAGGTCCACCCCTAATCTGTACTGGTGTCCAGGGTTATTCCTCCCCAAGTGCAGGACCCTGCACTTGCCCCCGTTGAACCTCATGAGGTTTCTCACCGCCCAGTCCTCCAGTCTGTCCAGGTCCCTCTGGATGGCAGCACAGTCCTCAGGGCTATCAGCTACTCCTCCCAGTTTGGTATCATCAGCAAACTTGCTGAGGGAGCACTCCAGCCCTTCATCCAGGTCGTTAATGAATAAGTTGAACAGGACCGGACCAAGAACTGACCCCTAATGTTAGTTCGCCTCCCTTTGGAGAGGTAAAATGGGAAAATCAAGTTCACTGAGATTACTTGGGAGGCCTCACAGCAGTAGTGAGGCAAAATGAAGAGATTTGACCTCTCCAATTTGCAGAGAGCCATCATACCATTTAAATATATGGCATCTCTGAATTTACATTAGATAAGTTCATTACTTTTTGGTATAACAGCTGAGAAACACATGGTATACCATAAGGCATAAGTAACTTCCCATTAATTTGCACAATTAAGACATTCTTTTTCTCTTAGCTCTCATAATAATCAGTTACCAGAACAAAATGGAGACACATATATTAATTCAATGACTTGTACTTACTGTTACTGCTAGTGTTACTGCCAGTGCTGTCATTCCTAAGGGAGCTGGCAGCAACAGGAGGAAACAAAAATGTTTTTGTGACGGCAACTCTGGAATCTAAATAGAAAATTAGTGTGTCAGCATTATGTAACTTAAAATACAGTTCCCTCTATATAAGATGCTAGGGTATTGGGCTATCCCGATCTGGTTATAGACCTGCTTTAAAAGAGGATTAAGCCAAATCAAAAAAAAAAAAAAAAAAAAAAAAAAGCAATCTCTTTAAGAGGCAGCTGTATCAGACTGGGCTGCTACTAAATACCTATTCTGGAAGAGCAATCTCTTTACACAATCTTTTAGGTTATGGCATCAATCTGCTTCCAGTTATTATTGGTATAACTGTAAATGAGCATGTTGCCCTAATTAAAACAGCTTGTAGTTTTCCCTCAAGAGAGTAAAAGAATGCACAAAACCTCCATTCACTACAAGGATGAGAATGAACCACAGGAGCTTGAGCTGAGCTTGTAAAATTTTTAAAATCAAGTAAACATTGTCCTTTTCAGGAGAAGTGGGACAAATGCAGAGCTGACTTGACAATGCTGCAATTTACAGCTAGTTCTAGTACTGTACGCTTTAGGTAGTGCAATCTTAGGCTTCTTTACGGCCTTATAAAAATTAAATAAAACATAAACAGAAGATCGGATGAAGAACAAGAGCAATATAAAAAGAAATCCAAGTTATATTTGGGATGAAAAAAAACAGAGCAGAGTATTGTGAAGTTATTTTGGATTATATTAAGGAATGATGTCACTGGGAATGATGATACTAGTTTTACTGCCAGATAAAACTCAGAGCAGAAATAAAAGTTTTGGTGTTGGTAGTCATTTTAACTGGCAATAAAAAGGAGATATAGCATCAGATCCTTAATACCTCTGAAATCAAATGAAAAATTATATCTACTTACACTGTTCACAGAAAGAAAAGCCACCTTACCATTCTCTGGTGTTTCTACTGTTGAAGGTAGAATGCAGTCATTTTGATCCAATGTGTCTGCAAATTCCTTATACACTTCAATGGTACTATTAAAGTGATTAAAAAAGTCCTCGGGAATGAAGTGACCTTCTTTATAAAGATGACCATTTTCTTTTATAAAATCCTAGGATAAAATATGGAATTCAGCTTGAAAGAAGATCGAGAGGTGCTTATTTCAGCATTATCAACAGACAATGATAAAAATATCCAAAGATGGCCCAACGAGTTCAAATTTTTAACCGGAGGAAGACCAACTTTACTGTATACAATCTTTATAAAACATGCAAACACTGTGAGCTGAAGATTTGAAAATAACTTTGCAAATAGAAAGCAGCTATTAATCCATCATTGTAAAATTGCCACAGAAATAAATGGTTAAGAAATGGACTACAGTGTTCCATCCTATACTAAAACTGAAGAGATTTTGGTATTTTGTTTCCCTAATAACAAATTTACCTTGATTTCATGTTATTTTGTAATGTCATCCATGATCCTTTTGATGTGAACACAATACAATGAGCACTATTTTCATAAGAGTACAAGGAACAGAATATAATAACTGGGATATAGTACAACAGAGAAGTTGAGATTAGTATTATATTGCTGATATTATATTGCCCTGATAATCTACCAAAAAAAAAAAAAAGCAGGACTATGAACAAGGTAGCCCAATCAATCACTGTGAGGTCTAATGGACAGTATGTTATGCCAAGTTAAACCAAAGACTGAGATCAATGTTAACATCATTGATTTTTTTTCCTCCATTTCCTTTTTACCTGACTGTGGCTTTCATAAAAGCCATTTCTTCTCTCAGCTCTTCAGATTTCGCCAGGCATTTGACTGTCTCAGTAAACACAGGTAAGCATATGGGTTAAAAACTTCCTAGTTTTTCTTCCTCTATTTTTTTTTTTTTTTTGGTTCCAAAATTATTTTCTTTTTAATGCTGCAAGAAGTAGATCTACAGTCATTCTTCTGTGAGTACAAACACAGATAGCTGTTTCTCTGAATTACTGGATGTTTCTTTCTTTCTTCATTCTCTGTCTTTGAAATTAAATCCTTCTTTCAAGACAATTCAGTTGAGTGTCTGTGCCTTGACTCACCATGACAAGAATTAAAAAGAAAGAAAAAAAGACATAGAAATGCTGAAGATTGGACAGGATTCATTTTGAAGTGGAAAGATAGGGAATATCTTATTACAGAATTGTATCTCAGCAATATAATACTAATATACTAAGCTAAGGTTACTGGCTTTTGCCACACCAAGTGACATTGGACCTTTCTGTGCACTTTTTTCATTCTTCATGTAAAAGGGAACAATTGAACAGCACTGTAAGCAACCTACAACTGCCTGATAAAAAATAAATGTGTATAAGGATGAAATTTATAGAACATTGTAGTTTTTTTTCAGTGGGACAAAATCTTCAACTAAAGAAATGGTACTTAATCACTAAGAGTTTAGCTAGAGCTAGGTAAGGGATCATTTTTTTTCTTCCATCATATTGTAACCCAAGAAAATCAGGTATCTCTAGAGTCAGATTTTCAGGAATCCTTCCAGCTACTGCTGGCATTAGGAAACAGAAGGAACTGTGTTGACTGACATTCTCTAGTGTACACTGTGCCTTTGCATACAAAAGTTTATTAAACCACACTAAAATTTTCTGAGGCTCAGACATGGTGATACATATTAAGGGTATATTAATAGCTTCAACTGTATCATATTTAAATTTACATTAGGAACTAGCAAGATTACTAACTTAAGCTGCATGCACAAGGAAGATTTCTGTCTGTTTGAAGCAGGTTATATTTAATGAATAATTAAGGATTGCAGTTACATTTTTGACTACTGAAATAACTCTATGCAGGTCAGTTAATATACTGTAAATCTTTGTAAACTATTTTCTTTTAAAACTGTAGATAGGGTAGCTAATTATCATTGTGTATCTCTAAGCAAAGTTTGATTTCACAAGTAAGTAACAGAAATGAAGAACAGCTGTAATGAAGCCTTGAACATTTTTTGATTAATACTGACTGCTATGCTAGAGAAAGTTCAAAAACAAATATCCAGCATAAAAGTAGAAATGCTGTATTAGGAGATTACCTTATTTTTATCCAAAGCTAGACATGCCATAAGATCGTTAATTATCCTTGTGAGATTATTGATGATTGAATAGTTGCTTAAAACATCAGACATATCTGAAATATCTGAAAATTTCTGCAGAAGACTGTGTAGACTTCTTGAAAATTCAGGCACCATCAAATGCAACCAACAGTGATTAGGCTGCCAGGGGATAAAAATAACAGAAAGGTAGATTAAATATCACACATACAAAAACTGATTAAGAAACTCAACGTGCAAAAGCAGATTAGACTGCTCTTTTCAATTTGGATTATCTTGAATTTGTCTAAATTAAAATTCATCTTTGCTACTGCAGCCAACTTTCTCTGCAGACCTTTTGGTGCAATCTCTTTTCTATCTTACATATTTATGTTTTTCTGTTAAACACCATCCCCTCACTAAATTTTTAATTAATGTTAAGCATCAGTCTGTTGAGGCCTTGAACCTTTGAATATAATACTACAAACCCTCTTCCATGCCTTCATTAACTTTGTTGGGTTTTTTTGTTTTTAAATAACAAGGCTTTAACAATTGTTCTCTAGACTTTCTTTATACCATTCTCACTTTTAATTTTATTATTATTTATAAAACTCAATTAACCCAAAAGATGCTTGATTTAAATCTTTTCTGAAGATTGCTTCTGTAAAAATATTACCCTGGAAATCCATGTGTGCTTTGATCCATCTCTGAGCAAATTAGCTCAGTTAATTCTTTCTCTTCATTATTTTCACTAAATGCTATTTCTGAACATAGCTTCTAGGGATTCTACACATCACATAATGGTATCTGCCACATCTGTGCCATTGGAATAAGGTTTAAATCTTTTCATTAACACTGTACAACTATAGGTTGCACAGCTGTTCATGGGATTTAAACATGGCATTCTTTCGCTGATGTAAATCACTAACTTATTTCACTAAGATTTACATAAGAGCAGTCAAGTAAACAAAAAGGCCACCAAACCCCACTGTGCCCAGAAAAACTTAAATCATTAATTGTAAGCATTGCAGGTAGTGTGTTATTTTTAACACACCATTCTAACATCATTCTAACATGCACATGGAAATCCCTTGCCAATAAACACTGCAATTTTAGCAGTAAATGTTATGAAAAAAAAAGAACAAGTAAAGATCAATATTGTAATACTATATTAAGTGAAACATTAGAATTTATTTCAAATACAAAGTTATTTTTTGACTGTTTTCAGTTGTCTTGGGATCATTAAACCTTTCAAGATCTTGCCTCTGCGGCACCTGACAAATATGCACCCTGAGTGCCTCCTAGCATTTTGAATGACAGCATCCATATAATCCATTAACTTCATATTCCACAGAACACTAGAAATATTTGGATTGTGCCAACTTATTGACTAAATCTCATTTTTCTCAGTTTATGCAATAAATTATTTATTCAAAAAAGAGTATTTTCTGCTATATATATCATTATGTGAGGATGAATTGGTTTCTCAGTGATATAACTATTGTTCTGCCCTGATGTGCAAAAGTCTCTGATGAAAAAGACACGTTTACACTTCCCAAGCCTATCTGGCTTCCAGAATTAATGTAACTTAAAGTAAGTACATTGTTTAGCTCCACTGTAACTTTTATGTTTAATTCTTTCTCACTTGCCCTCTAGTAAATGGAAATTTAGTATCGTCACCTTTGCTAACTATTTCAGCAATAACTTAAAAAAATATAAAACCAAATGTGAAGTGGATGGCATTTGGCTTGGTTCTCTGCTCCCCTCTTTCTTCCTCAGGCACAGCAACAAGAAGGGAGAGGCAGAAGTAAATATAGCAGGGGAAGCCTGTAGTCCATTGCAGCAACATGTGCTCATGTGCTCTACTATATTGCATTGCCCTAACAAGGCAGGCAATGAATCTTCTGCTTTGGTGTAGGTTTGTCAAGGCAGAGTCTCAGTGCTTCTCTGAACTGCAAGCCTGGAAATCCATTTTCTCCAGGGTTTTAAGGATATATGTTTTACCATGGCACAGACTAGCAAAAGCCTGCTGCTTCTCTAGTGTGCAATAGGAGCATTTGGTGATTTCAGCAGGGATTCTACTTTGCTGCTCCTGTAATTTAGCATGTGTGTGGGAGTCTCCTCTGACTGAACTGTTCTGACCTACAAAGCTGAATACATTAGCTTAAAGTTTCCCTTTCAGCAATGTCAAGCTGTGTGCCTTCTTGCTTTCTCAACATCTATCAAACATAAGAATGAAACTATGTAAAAACTGGCAAATGTGATATTGTTTGTCGAGCAGAAATAAAAGTTCACCTCTGCTCTGTGCAAATTTTTGTGTAAGATTTGACTGAAATTTACATCTGTGGGTGCTGACAAACTTGACTTCCCTGTTTTCCTGGGTAATCCTCATTTAACCTTTCCATTCTGTAACTATCTAAAAGTTTACAGTTTATCTCCCTATTAGACTGCAGACTGCTGTCACTTTTGCCTTCTAACCTCCAGGTTAGGCTACACCATTCACTCTGAATCTACTTTTAAAGCCACTCAGATGCCTTGAGCTAGTGCATAATGCAACAACCCTTCTGTTTAATGGATTGAGTCAGTCTGTTCCTGTTATATGCACTACAGTGGATTTCCATCTGCTTGGAATTCACTCTACCTTTCTACCTTTAGTAACGTACAATTGAGTCTTGCTACTTTGGATGGATCTCCCACTTTGTGCACACCCTGAAGATTGAAATGTACTGGAAAAAAAAAGTTGAAGAGTTCTATTTTCATCCTTTTAGATGAAATTTAAATCTATTGTCTTTTAGAATAAAGAGCATTCACCTTATGCAAAGCCACAGATTTCTTAGCTTGTAGGGATTTTTTAGAACGCAGAGCAAAATCTATTTGTTCAGCTGGCCTTTGCTGTGGTATGTACAACCTGAAATCCCCAGAGAGGAATTTGGCAAAGTGGGATATGAATACCACTGAATACTTCCTCCTGAGAAGGCATGTGGCCAAGAGCTGCACCTTCCATCACCACTATTGAATGTGGTATACAAGCAAAGTAAATTTGGAAATCCTTGCTCTCAACTTCTCTTCTTCCTATTTAATTCTTGGCTGTGCATGGTAAATGTAAACTGGATCTAAGTTTCTGGATATGATGCAGCAAGATGACTTTGCATTTCAACTATAGAAAAAGAAACTATAGTGGAAGCCAAAACTGAACCACAGAGCAAGGTAAGAGTTAAGTAGCAGGAACGATCATGAGTCCATTGCTCAGGCAGGCTCCCTGGCCTTCTTCATTTAAAGTGTAAACATTCCCCAAGAGAACAGCAGAGACATCGGTCCTGACAAAGTCCTGCCCTCGCCTGCCGGCATGCCTCACTGATCCACAAGGCTGAGGGAGCACAACTGGGGCTACAGCTGTACTCCACAGACCTGATCCTCCTTGAGACAGAAATCACATACAGATTCATAATCACTGAATTTGAAAAAGCACTGTTGACAGAAGGCAAATGCAGCTTGTTCTACTTAGATTCTTTTTTTTTTTTTTTTAATGGATAATGGCTATTTTTAGACACTTAGATTTTCCATTAGTTTTATTTATGTTATAGTATAGACACAGATCTAATACAGACTTCTACAGCTTTGTTTCTGAGTTTTCCTGACTAAGGAACCAAGTTTAAACTGGATTCTATAACTTTTTCTTAGTTTTAGTAAAACCTTTTAGCTTCCAACAAAACTCATTAGACTACTATTAGTTTCGCCACAACAAAACCTTTCATTTCAGGACCCTTCTCTACTCTATAACTTCCTTTTCCTCAAGCAATCTTCTTCATGTTCATTCAGGGCTGACAAAATGTTGCTTTAGCTCCAACATCAAGGGGGAATACTAGTTATACTATAGATATAGTAACAGAATTGCTAGAATGTATTTTTATATGTATTCTAATATAAGTCTGATTTTCATATTGACAACTTTATACAGATATATATACAACTTCTACATGTACTGGATTATTTCTAAGTATTGACATACGCTAAGTATTGACATGACTCAGTTAATATGCTTAACCCAGATACAACATCATCCACTTGTATTTATAAGTCAGTATACATCAATGACAGTTTTTTTTTTCTGCAGCGTATACAACAACCAAGAAAGTATTTGTAACAAAATTCTTAAAAATGTTTAAAGCAAATTCAGGACACTTTCAAAGATATTTAGCATAAAAGAAGCAATACTTTAATATGAAGAAACTTTTAATACAAAATGCTTGAATTTTTTTAAGAAAACATAAGACATTTAAAAGTATGACTATGAATGAATTGTGGGGTTATATGTAGAGAATAATACAGAGCTTGTCTGAATGAAGTAATGTCACAACTTTTCACCAAGTTGACCAAACCACAATTTGAAAGAATCTACTTGTTCAAGTTAGCAACAATTTCCAGTTGATATGATGAAGCAATACCATAGTTCGACTTATTCCAGAGAAAATGCTAAAAAAAATAAGAAATATTTTTCCAAGAAACCTGCAAATAAAAAGATTTTAAGTGACTGCAAGAATATCTCTGTATTTCTATATTTTAAATTAATTTGTGAAATGCCTATTTCATATAACAATCATAATAAAGTAATTGTTCTTTAACTGTAAGTTAATAAGTCATAGAAAAACATACAAAATATTATGACCATTACTGGCGCCAGTTGACTATTTTATCAGGATTAACTTAATGTGGTTGTACATACCAGGCTATCCATCTTCGGGACATATTTAAGGGTTATCATATAATCATTTGGGAGATTTCCAACCTACAATAAATATATAATAAAAATGTTATTACCAGCAACTGAAATTTAAGACTTAACTTCCATCACTGCATTCAACAGAAGATCTATCAAATATTCAACACATAATATAGGTAATGTATCAGTTGCAAAAGCTTATATACTCAGTTTCATGTGGAATTGCACCTTGCTCTGAAGTTACATATATCTGTATATCACTAATATTCCCAGAACCAAGCTGATGTTATTTAATGTATTATTTTCCATCAGAATTAAAAGTTAGTATAGCGGTGAAAGAGAAGCAAAGCTCTGAGGCCATTTGTTACTGCCCAAATGCCACTGTGTTTCCCTCTTTTAATGGAATATCTTGCAGTGTTTAGAACATTTACGTGACACTTTTTATGTCACTTATACCTGCCCCAACAGGCTTACCTGACTAAGCATTTTTCCTTCAAGCAACTTCTTTTGGCAAGCATTTGAACCTAAGTAAATATTCACCTGCCCAGTACTTAGTAATATACATCAGAAAAAAACTTAAATACAACTTTAACTTTGAAGCTGTGCTTCAGACTAACGATGAGCAAGATAATTATGTCACAGTCGCGTCCAAAGGCAAAGGAGAGCTACAAAACATGTGAACTCAGGGTGGCACTACAGAGGTCGGGGAGTATGGGATGAGCTGAAATGAGAATGAAGAGTAGAGGAAGGGGCCTTACTGCAATGCAACCTCCTACAGATGGGAATTAACTCTCCAGTGGGATGTGAGGATCACCGGGGAATGTGCTGTGAGGGCAGATGAGGATGAGGACAGAGACTCCTACCATGATTCACTCTGAAGTACTTATTTTGAAAGTTTGACTAATGCTATGGTGCTTTGTGATATAGCAAATCTTTTTTTGCCTATCTGTGAAAGGAAAGATTCAACTGATATTTCTCATCTTTATTTGAAAATCATTTTGTTGAAAGACTATAAGCACATACTCTCTTTTCATGAACTAGCTCCTTTCATGAGCTAGAATCTATACTTTGTTCCAACAAAGAATTTCTACCTTATTTATCATTTTTTCATGGATGCTTTTGATTTTGCGGCCATAGCAGCTAGCACACTGATTTTTTTTTCTGTGCAGTTTTTAGGTAACATTTTGTTTGATACAACAGAATGTTCTACTTCTTAATTTAAATTCAGTTTCAATTAAAAATTAAAACAGCAATTTCAAAATATTAAGGTTCTAGAACTGTTCAAAGAGAATACTTATGTGCACTAAGTCACTAGAGAATTCCAAACATTTTATATTTACAATGTGGGCTGAGTCATGATGTTTCAGTTCAATGACCTTGAGCTTTGTTCTTACAGCATTAGAAAACAAGTTTTATACAAGTGATCCTGACGAATGCTGTTCTGTAGATCATGTAACTTTTTTTTTTACTTTTATACATACATATTCTCCAGACAGAGGTTGCAAAAATGTCACCAAATCCTCTATCAATATCTATCAAAGTCTATCAATTCGCCTGCACCTGCTTGGGGAAGGTTCTGATGCAAGATATTACAAATACTGAAAATTTCTGCAATACCTAATACATTAGGTATTGTCCCTAATACACTGTATGTCCCTAATACATTAGTGAATGGAGCATTGTACGAGGACAGAGTGAGTTGGGTCTCTTTTCTCTGGAAAACAGAAGGTTGAGAGGGGATCTGATTAATATGCAAAAGCACCTGAAGAGGGAATATAGGGAGGAAAAGGGAAAGCTCTTCTCAGTGGTGGCCAGTGACAGGACAAGGGGTAATGGCTGTGAGTTGAAACACAGGAAGTTCCATCTCCAGGTGAGGAGGAACTTCTTTCCTGTGAGGGTGACAGAGCCCTGGCATAGGCTGCCCAGGGAGGCTGTGGAGTCTCCTCCTCTGGAGATCTTCCAAACCCGCCTGGATGCCGCCCTGTGCTCCATGCTCTGGGTGTCCCTGCTGGAGCAGGGGGTTGGACTAGATGATCTCTACAGGTCCCGTCCAACCTCAGTCATTCTATGATTCTGTGACAACGTCTGTTCTTTCTTTAAAGCATCCTAAAGCTACTTTTATTTCCTTTGGAAACTGGCTGGTTTATTTTGAAATCCTATCTACAGTTTTTCTCAATATTTTCCCTTCTCAAAAAACACCCTGCCATACAGCACAATAATAGGTAATCCAGTTTCTTTTCCAGCTTTCCTTCCAGCTCCCATGTATGCACAGGAGGTAAGATGAGCAGCACTTTAAGCAGTGAAGATGGTGAAGATGTTACTGCAGGTGCAAAGTTTCCCATACTTACTCCATAGGGATACAATACTTAGCAATGTCAGCAAAAGTACATTTCTTTAAGGAAGGTCACTGGAAGATTAAATTTGTTCCAAATCAATGAACACTACAAGAATTGAGATGCATTATGTATACAATCTACTTTACTGGCATCAGTGCCTGTCAAGCACTTTCATGCACAGTTAAAAAAATGTAAGTGCCTAAGAGCTCTTATAGCTCTCAAATAAAGCTGCAGATAACAGCTCAGTCAGATATTTTTCTTCTTGATAGTTTGTGAATCAGAAAAGATATTCTTGAATCTGCTATTAAAATGAAGATCACTAGAGTGGCCAAACCCAATGTCCTTCTCATGAAGAAATAACTTGTTAGAATCTTGATTAAACTACACGACAGATATTCCACTGGTGGAAAATGGTGTAGCTCATTCCAAATTATGAAGTTGTCCTTTGTCCTACCTGGAGTTGCCAAGAGAGGGGAAGCATTACCTCCCTCAACCTGCTAGCAATGTTATTCCTAACTTAGACCAGGATCACATTAGTTTTCTTGGCCATATGGGCACATACATTGCTGCTTACAGTCACCTTATCCACCAGGACTTCTCCACAGAATTGCTTTCCAGCCTCTAGCCTGTATTGGTTCATGGAATTATTCCCGCCTTGATGCAGGATTCTGCACTGGTCTTTACTGAACTTCATGAGCTCCCCTTTGCCCCATCCTCCAGCCTATCAAAGTCTTTGATGTACCGGTGAGAAATATGTTTGTATTAAAGTGGTACACTTTGTTTTTGCTTCCCATTAAATGTATCTTGAAATTTTGCTGAAGGTGAACTACCAAGACTACAATTTAAAACTAATCACTTCCTTTTTATTGCTGAAGTATCCATTTGGAGTAACATTAGTGCGCCAAAAAGAGGGACAAGCATGACTGCACTGAGTTTTCCAACTGAGCACAAAGGCAAAGATAGATTCTCTATTTACATGAGGTGGCAGATAACAATAACCCTCAAAAGAGCTTCAAGAGGCAGAGGACAAGAAAGCTGTATCTGCCTGAAAAGGCTTTTTGATTCTTATATTCAACTTCTTAATTACAGTGACAAGTTTGAGTGCAACAAAACTTCTACCTGTATGACCTTTCTTATACAGAATATCAACTGATGATCTTAGAAAGCAATTTATAGACTGAAACATGCATTGCAGTTAAAATGCCATAAAAAAAAAAATCTGACTTAGTGCACGTGTGTGGTTGTAAAAATCCTAACAGGCTCTGAGATCTTATTCTTTCAAGAAATATAGAACAGGAAATCTAGACTCATGCCTTTACAATATTATAAGACAAATACGAATGGGTATATTCCGAACTATAAAAAAATCTCAAACTGTGGAATGCAAGATTCCTTTTGACATAAAGAAGTCCGAATATTTAATACAGTTCTGTTAACATTGTATAACCCATTGTATATACTTTTTAAAAATATGCTCATGATCACATAGATGGGGAGATGAAAAAGAAATGAACAGCCACAGAAATAGTTGTAAGTGATGTAGAGTCCATAAACTATCCTTTCATCATAACAGAAGAACAGAAAAGATATGGCCTGTCTCTGGAGTCAAGTACTCAGATATGAGAGGCTAAATTCTCTTTATTGTGAGCTGTTTTACTGTTTTGGAAAGTTTAAGGATATAAACATAGGTATTTTTTACATATGGAGCAAAGGTAAAGTAAGACTTCAAAGTAAAAATTAACCATTTGATATTGCCAGTGCTTACTTTTTTATTCTGAGTCATATAATCAAAAAATGTGCTTTACTTTTGGCTGCCATTTCTACCCCATGTTTCTTTTTTCCTCATTCACTTTTCCTACTCTTGCATGCTTCTATATCTCCTATCCTTGTCTCTTTGGCTTTTCTTTTCCTGCAGGAAAAGTTCATCATCTCTGCAATCCACTCATCTGCTAATGAAGCAGTTAATAAAATCTGCATCATTTGGCTTAAGACAACATGTTAACGAGTACCGTTCACACTTTTCACAGCCATAGTGGCAGCTTATTTCCAGGATGACAACACTGGATCGTTTTTATAACCTCTTCACACATTAGAATTAGACCCACTTAAAAATAAATATCAAATGTTGTAGAGAGTGTAAAGTACACATTTACAGCAAAGATGCAATGTGAAGGTAAGGCATTTGAAACAACACATTCAAATGACTGGCCCAGTTGGCCAGCACTGGAAAATGCTGAGTATTGCTCAGGCTTCCAGTAACAAAAAGAAACATTATTTTCAAGACGGAGATCACAGAAAATAGAAATAAGTACCTTAGTTTTTTTTTAACAGAATAAATTGAAATATGTAGTAGATTCTCTATATGAGGCACAGTTCAGGGAAGATTCTACTTGCATTCAGGTTGGATGATGATATTTAGCAAACATACACTCAAAAATTTTAATTGTTATCTTAAATTGGAGACACAATTCAATGCACTGCCATAGCTTTCTGCTGACTTACTGTGCAGAAAAGAACAATGGTGACAGGCTTTATTGGCAGGTACTGCAATTACAGTCTTATAATATGGAACACTGTTCATCAAGCAGCATGTTTCCCTCCAGACATCTTCATTAAAAGAAGAAGCTTGAGTTCAAGTGATTAACAATGCAGAAAGTCTCTAAATACTTGCATTCTCTATAGGCATGAAATTATGCTCTTTTAAAGATCTCCCTATTATTAAGAGAAAAATCATTGTTGAAATGCTCTTTTTATTTTTAAAGCATTTTCTATAGCATGCTTTATATTGCAGTACTGGGTTATAAAGACTTCAAATAAATTTAATCTTAAGGAAAATACTAACAGTCATTTTTGTTCAAACAGATATAAGTCTGTTTTAGTTTTAAGTTGATTACGGCTCACTAACCTCAGTTTTACTGAAACTGCTCTTTCTGATTCTAGTTTCTGTAAATCACTAGACACCAGTGACACTTGTAAAAATCCATATTAATACCACTGAAAATAAGTTACAATATACATCTGTTCTCAGTTTATTATGCAGTATAACATTGATTGAGCAAATTACCCACTTCTTTACACACTGCACAGAGTGCCTCATTTATTCTGCACTAGCAGAGGCTTAGTAGATATGCCTGGTTTATATTCACAGAAAACATTAGATGCAGCATGACCATCTCAAATTGCTAGAATACAATACCCTTTAACAGTAACAGCCATGTTCAAGACACTTCCTAATATGTGAACTGCATGTCTAGTTTCCTCACAACCAAGGGCTTTGTTAGCTAAATCACTATTATTACTCCTAAATATTTACATTATGTTAGCATTTTTTTTAGAACTAGGGCACCTTGTGTTGGGCTCCACATAATCATTAATGGAGTTAATCCTAGCCCTACGAAGCTTACAATAATTAAAATATAACCTCAGAAACAAATAAATGAAGATTAAGTAGAATCAAGTTACAAACAAAAGACTTCGGTTGGGAATTGTGGCATCGTTTTCTCAGCTGTATGTGAAGTGCAGTAGAAGTAGAGAAGAGGGATATAAATTTATGCTGTAAGAATCTTAGCATGAGATATAAAAGGGATGAGAATCTGTCTGGAGTTTATCAGGGAGTCTCTCTCCTGTGGCCCAGGAACAGCAAAACAGAAACTAAGGAAATATTTAGGATAAGCTAGGACAAAAAGGCTATGTCAGAATGCTTTAAGAGAGTTCACAGACAGTGTTAGCAGGGCCTTTGACAGCAAAACCAAGAAGCTTGTCATCGATGAAAAGACAAAGGAGGTACAGCTTGAAGTAAGCAAATGGAAACTCACAGGGTCAGAGCAGGAATATGAAAAAAAAAAAGAGGGGCAGAATTACAGAAATTGAGGCCAGAAAAATGCGTATCAGTGGACTGGCTTTAAACCCACTATGAATTTGGAAGAAAGCTGAATTTGACATTTTGGAGTCTATATCCTTAGGATATCTTCACAGACATGATAAATTAAAAATGTAAAACTACCAGAAGCTAAAAGACCGTTTACAAATATATTGATATCCTTCCATTTTGAAAAGTCTTCCCCTTTAATTAATCCAGATATAATCATATGGTAAAATATAATCAGATGTTATCTTTGAATGGTATAGTGCAGGTATTAAGAACAGATACTTAACTATACCAAAATTAAAAGGCACTGCTGATAATGTCTAACCAGTATCTGAGCGTGGTGTTTTCTAAGTAGTATAGAGAACTTCTACACCATACTGCTTTCGTATTTCTTAAAGACTTATGTGGGTGAGGAGGAAGAAAAACATCAGTTACAGAAAAAAACAGTGACCTGTTTGCTTTCAGTGGCAAAACTTTCATAATGCACTCATGTTCTTATATCAGGAATTTGAAAGCAAATTCTTACTGTATGAATACTATTTTCATAGCATCGAAAAATAAAAAAAGGTAATTCTTAGTGAATCAGTACTCACAGTGAATTTCTCCCTACTTTGAGGCAAATTGTCACTTAATGATGGTTTCTCTTAAAATTACAGTACTTTTTATTACATAGAGCTTTTTCATTTTCGATGTCAAGTTGTCATGGTCATGTACTTCAAAAGGGAACAATCAACTTGTAATTCAGTCAATTTAATGAAAAATAAGAGTTCTTGCACTTTAAAATATTACACTTATTTCCATGTTATCATTTCCCTTCTTAAGTGGATGAAAAATCTATGTATATATTCACACACACATACAAAACAGGGCAACAGACTCTGCAAAACATTCTCAAATGCATGGTTCAACCAAACTGAATCCAACCATCTGTCTTATTTCTCCAGATCAAAATATCTTCAAACCTGCTAGCTAATTTCACTCAAATTTTGCATTAGGTATACATGTTCCTGTAAGTTCTGCAGCAATTTTCTTGAGGAGAAAGATCATAATAGCATCCTCACTGAAGCAATGGCAGGACGAGCTCAGCCCTACCCCATTCTGCTCAGCCTTTGCATCATCAGAAGTGCAAGGCAAGCTGGCTAGTCAGCAAAGTTTTCCTTTCAGGCTAAGTAGCACACACACCAAACCAGCCACGAAACTCCTTCCTGCCCAGCCAGTAAGCCAGAAAAAAAGTGGGATATGAGCTTGGAAGGAAATGAAAATATTGTTCAGGTAGGCATCATGCCTAGGGAATATGTAAGGGAGCCAGTGATGCTGTATGTGGATAAACTGGGTGTGTGAAATAGAGTAGGGATACGGAGGCAGGGAGCTGCCAGATACGTACAAGAATTGCAGTTACTGGACTAGATTGGAGGAAGACAAAGGAGCACTATATGGAAATTCATTAATAACAATAATAATAACAGTAATAGTAATAGTAATAGTAATAGTAATAGTAGTAGTAGTAGTAGTAGTAATAATAGTAATAATAATAATAATAATAATAAAGATTTTTATAAAATTTCTTTTTAAAAGTTTGTTTATTAATTTCCTACAATAGAAAAGGGTGATTGTTCAAGCTGGAAGCTCATTTTTGTCATCAGTATTTGTATGTTCTTAGAGTTCAAACATTTGTTCTGACAATATATAATTGACAAAAAGTTAGTGTTGACACTGTTCCAAATAATTTCACTAAACCTCACAGGAGTTACGTTATTTTAAAGTCATGCTTTCAACAGTTTTAAATCTTAATACTTTTTTAAGAGATGTAATATCACCTTGAATAAATATATCAATATTTCAGAATCATGCTTATAGGGACTAATGTGAAGCATTAAGCATTCCAGAAGAACTAAATAAACACTCTTCCTTTCTCATAGAAATACACTATGTACCAATTCATATGATACCCAAGGAAAAAAATTTAAGAATATTTTAAGATGCACTGCCATCAAATGCAACAGACTGCAAATTAAGTGTCTGGTAACACTAATTCTGGTCTTGCAACTGTTTCTCCGTAACAAAGCCATAATTTTCAGCTGAACAGAATATGTAGATGCAGGTATACTTGTTAAGTGTTCGGTATTCATTATTTCTTAAACCTTTGGTGTTAGATCCTACACCACTGCAAGTCAGCATAATCAGACACTTAGTTGAGTTAAACGCCAAATGACTCCAAACAAGTAGATGCAGTTGTTTAACTTAATGCAATATTCAACTAAATTAGACTCAAAATGTACTTACATTTATTCAGTTCTTAAAAAAGCTGCCAGTCCTTCAGATTAAACTTCATCTTAAAGCCTTTTTTTGTTTTTTTTTAATATTCTCTTGGTTCTAATACATGTTCACAAACTTTCCTTAAAAATTTAAGTGCCATTAGCCACTGATCATCAAAAAATATATGTAAATTAAAAGCTACTTACCAATTTTGCAATGTCATTCACATCATCTGTCACTGGATTCCCGCAGGAATTCTGGGCTTTGACAAGAGGATTCAGTAGGAGTAGTTGAAGACAAAAGCAAGTGATAATCCAAGTCTGCATTTATTAAAAAACAAAGAAACAAACAAAAACTAGTAAGCAATCTCCAAAAAAGAAGTACAAGATACTACAGCAATGTTTTTCATATATGAAGTCTAGATGTCACCATACTCTTTCATCAGCACACTTTTACTGTCGTAGTGCAATCTTCACAGCAGATATCCAAGGAAATACTTAACCAGGCTTTTCTGGAAGAAAGCACGTTTAGAGTAATTAAAAAAAATACACAATATTGAAGCATCAGATCATTTGTGCATAATCCTGCTGCACCTAATTGTCTAGGTACATTTCTTCCAAGTTTACAGGCAACAAGTAAATGAAAGATTCATGCTTTACAATATTGATCATTATCATCATACATCTAACTAAATGCTTGCCACTCATTCAGTAAAGTAGTTAATAATTCTCCACTTCTAATGTTTTAACGGCTGATAAAGAATAAAGTGATAGTAGACCACAACAGTATAAAAAGAAGAAAGTTCATAAGCACAGTCATTACAGGTGAGTACTTCAAATGTAAGCAGAATCACAATAAGCCTCTGCCAAAGCTACAGTTGCTCTAAGTGACATGCTCCGGCCTATCAGAAGCAGTAGCTTGGCTTTGAGACTTCATTCCCTTCCTAATTCCTATTATGAACAGCAACACAATATAAAGAGATTCAGACTTGTGAGATTCAGCAAAAAATAGACATACAAGCAACTCATTCAGATGCACCTGGGCATCTCCTACACTATGCTGTCTGAACTTCCAAGCCATCTGCTCCTCGAGCCCTGCCGCATTCCCACAGAGCCCTGGGCCAAGTTTACGCCGTATATCGTTATTTTTGGAATGCTAAAGCAAATAAGCTACCGGCAATCAAAAGTTGCCTCAGGTTCTGAAACTCCTTGTGCCAGCTGAATGAAGGTGTCAGCAGGAGATGATGCTGGCGTACTCGTACCGCAAGCATGGAATTTGCCTCTGCAGGCTCCTGAGTCTTAACAAGGACAGGCCTACTACTACAATTCGTTTTTGCAGGAGCTAAGATGCATCCTAGGCCTGTCTGTTCTCTGAGGCAAGAAGAAAAATCACTTTTTTTTTTTTTTTTTTTTTGTCCTGGGCCTCAAATGGTATAGAATTCTTCAATTTAAAACCAAACCAAATCAAACAACATATATGAAGCTCTCTAGTAAAGCAGAGGAAGAAAAATAGGTTGAAAAGAAGACCTGTTCATTTATCTGGAAGTGCTAGGAATGGGAAATAATTAAAAATGACAGATCAGTGACAATCATTTTACCTGCTAAAAGATATCCAAAATCTCCTTCTTATGTCTTGCATTTCTTCCCTTTTATATACATTTTATATTTCAAGTAAAAATAGCCATTTGCCTTCCCCCCTCCCCAGAATATTGGTTCCTGACTGATTCAAGTCCAACTTCTGTGTGGGCTGATGCTTGAAAAAATTATCCTCCCTTCTGCCCCTGTCTCTTGCATTCACCCTGGTGACCTGGTGAAATAGTTTAACCAACTGTAACAGGCAGTCAGTCAAACTACTGCTATTTTTTTTCTGTGCTATTTTTCCAGCAGATACACTCAATTATTTATGAAAACAAAGAAGCATCCATACATGAAGAGAGCAGAAATAACCAATTAAGGATGGCAAAAGTCCCTTTTCATTGAGTTGACACTAGTTTGGCCTAAATTGTTTACAAAACTACACCTTCAAAACCAACAGAATCATAGTGGTGAGCAAACTTAACGTGCAAATACGTTAAAATATTCTGAGCAAAACAAACATTCAGCATGCAGCCTGTCTTTTCAGAATGCTCTTGCTTCAACATACTAGAAGTACTGAATTAATACATTCAACATCTAGAAATACTTTTCATCCATTGTCTATATAAATAATTACCAACAGCATATACTAGAACTAGTATGAAGTTAAATATCTAATGATGAAAAGAAAACCTATCACACCGTATCAAACATATCTTATACCATACAAGGTTTTGCAGTTAGACAAACATTGCAAGCTCTCAGGAGACATTATGAGGCCACAATGCTCATTATCACACCACAGAGACAAGAGACAACAGCCCAGAATCTGTTCCCTGCTTCTCTACGGAGATGTTAGTAGGGAGAACGAGAACGTGAGGGCCTAGATCTCTAATGTATCTCCTGTTGGACAACTTGTCCAACCTCTTGTTTGTTTGTACTTCTGCTTCCACGTCTCCCATATAGAAGTAACTGATGGTCTTCTATGAAAAGACTCTTGAGAGCTCCTGGTAAAATTAATGTATAAAAACTCAAAGTGCTAAAAATAGCTCTAACTGGTGAGAAAAACATCTCCCTTCACATAAAGAAACGGTAATTCCACGCCAGGATGTTTACAGAGCAGTATTTGAAAGAAAACCGCTGTAAGAAAGGGTTGTTCCTCCTTTATTTTTTGAGAAAAAGGCTTAAATCACTGTTTTATTTATTCAGTTGCCCAACATTCTGTAACATGTAAAAAAGATGGGTTTGTTCAGTGACTTGTGTCAGTGTCAAGACCAAATCTGACCCAGAATGTCTAATACTCAAGAAAGTAGCAGAAAACTTTCACTGGAAAGATTTTCTGTGAGATCAATTGAGTAATATCAATAAAGCCAGCACCATATACTAGATAAAATTCTGAACTAGATAAAATCCTGAGAATTCTGAAATACCTTTAGTATTCATGATCTAAAACATACCCTACACATGAATTTTAAAATTACTACACATTTCATAATTATGCATATATTGCATATATTATTTTAATAACTGCTATTAAAAATAAATGCTTTATAAAGTCTAAGATGATTTGAAGTTTTTGTTGCATATTTGTTCCCTATGTCATCCAACTGGAATTGAAAACCTGCAAAATACTGCTAGTTTCAACATGTCTGTTATCCAAAATCTTTTAATTATTTGTACTTACAAAATATTTATATTGCACATGCCTACTGGCACATTGTATTTAAGGACTGTATAGATCAAAGAGCCAAGCTATTTGTGCTATTCACTAATGACCAAACCTGCTGTTTGAGCAAAACTTGAATAGACTGAATTAAATCAAGGATGGAATAAAAAAGAAGCTTAAACAACAGCTTTATAAATAGAGGTTCCAGTTTTGCACTTTACTAAGCATAAATGAAAGTTACCCACACAGCACTCACAACAGATTTCCATATATAATTACTTCTAAGCTAAAACTGGATCTTCAAAGATGGCCACAGGTTTTAATCACACATCATCTACTAACATTAAATTTTAAATATATGGCGTACCAGAGACACCTCTATACCAAAGGGCATCTTCCTATTTTTGGCTCAAAAAATAGAACCACTAAATTGCTCTGTATTTTGAAAACTCTTAAATCCTTAATATTTAAGTTGCTTTTGTGAAAACTTAACAATTATAATAAAAAGGTTAATTTAAATTAAAGATATAAATTAATCACTTCTGATCATTTTACAAATGATTTTTTTTATTGTCTATATGCCACAAACAATTTGCCACTTTACCTAAGAGCTTTCATAGGCTTAGCTACAGATCCAAAGTACTGAAGACCATCCTTTCAGAAACTATAAATCATGAGACATTAATTTATGATTCAAAATATTGACCAAGGCTGGTAAAAGACTGCTTGAGCATCTTTTTCACAGTGTGATATGAAAGGTACAGAGTTATCCTTGTTAATGTTCAGCTAAGTCCTTAAGTGGAAAACAGAAAGGGGAATACCACATCGCTAAATAAACAATGTTGGAAAGTCTGGACATTTCCAAACCTCCCGTTTGTACTGATAACAACTCTAATCATAACTATGGAGAAATTATTAACAAACAATAAAATCCAAGCACAGGGAGTGATAGATAATAACTACATAGATAAACAACCTCCTTATTAAACAATTTCTTGCATTCATATCATATTAGCCATAGACATTTTAATTACAGCTTCCTAAGAAAATCATATCCAGTTAAAAACAAATAAGCCATAGCTTATTTGTAGGGTTAGCTGACAACACAGAACAGATTTCACCCTGGGCCAGGCTTCCCTAAATTATTTTTTATTTTTCCTAATGCTGGGACAGGAACATGTCTCAATATTAGTTCCTCAGGCAATGCTGGCATACTACTTTGCTGAGAAACAGCCTGTGAACCACTGCCATGGACAATATTGGTTGATTGGTCATGGATAATTTAATTTTCATAATTCTGTAAAAAAAAAAAAAAAGGAAAAAGCAAGAACAGTTCTTTCTTGTCTTTTTTATACCACCAACTGCCATCCAGAAGCATATATGCACAATAATTATTTCATATGCCTACTAATATACGTAGTTATTTAAGCTAAGATAGAGATGATTAAAGTCATGAATTGTTTTTAACAAATTAAGAAATTTACAGTCAGCCTGGAAAAATCTTAAAGTGAAAGATGAGCATTTATATAGCATATAATCTCCTTCCCATTCTGCAATACTTCCCTCCATGCCAGTGAGTGATAGCACCAACTCTGGCATTCTAAAGTGGTGTGCCTAAGTATTCCCTAAATGCTAAATATCGCATATTTATATAATCTATAAAAGAGTGTGATAGGGATGGGGAAAAAAAAAGAAAAAAGTCACTCACCTGTGCCTACCTGGCTGTGGAAGCACTGAATTATTTTGGTAACTACATTTTGAACAAGAGTGTTCCCTACATTCTTTCCCATACTCAGGAGAAAACTTCAGTGCAGTTAGAGGAATCACTGCACAAACTCTGAGTAATGCATGGTTGAAGCACTAAGTCCACTGTATATTCATCACCACCCTTTAAAAGCACAGTAGTAGTCTCATTCAATATAGCAGCCTACTGCTCAGACTGTGCACTCACAAGTCACAGACCTAGGTTAAATTTCCTCTTACCAAGGTAATTTCAACTTGTAGGAGTTGGGATCTGTTCCTATGGTAATTATCTCATAATTACACAAAGAGGTAATTCCCCACCTATGTCAGCTTCCTATTCAGAAGGGGCAAAGCAGGGAAATTCATGCTTCTTATAATAAAGAATGTGTATGCATTTTATATTGGTGAACTAATACTAGAAAAAAAAAGAAACATTTATTACACAGAAATCAGAATGCTTTTGTGTATGCTAGTCTTGCACATGCTCCTCCATCTGGGTACCCTAACTTTTGGGATGATCCCCAGACGACATGTGGGTTTTCTTGAACAACCTTTTGGCAGTCCATTGACCAAAAAAAAGAGTCAAACTTCAGCTAAATACATCACCATGCTGGGATGAGATTCCTAGATCACACTCTAAATGCTTTGTTACAATTAAAAGAAGCAATCCATGCTTTCCTAGTGACTGATACTAATTCTAATCTTACTAATAATGATGTGTAATAGGGAAAATGATGATAAAAGCAATCACAATTCATCACATTCATACAGTACGCTTTTTTTAGATACTGATTTAAATACAGAGACTACAAAAATTCTGATTACTCTCTTCAGTTTAAGTCTCAGTATCTTAGGCATTAAATATTTGAACATACTTATAAAATGTACAATACTTTTTTATTTAATTCTGTATAAAATATATAAAACACCTAATACTAACATACTTCATGGGGAAAGGGGGAATTAATTTGTTACAAATGTAAGCAGGAAGAGGTACCATTGTGCCCTACATTCAAATGTGAATTTAATGGGCTACCTTCTTTCACAGCTTTATATAATACTCTTGGATTTTCCATAAATTTGCCAACCATAAAACCTCTTTCCCCTAACCTTCCCATGTAACTTATTTTCC